AGGGAAGAGGATGGGGGATGGGGTCCGATAAAGGAAGAGAAAAATAGAGCAGTGTGAGATCTTATGTCAGTGATGGAAGTGTGAGGCCAGTGTGTGCTCTCAGCTACCCCCGTCCAACACACACACACACACACACACACACACACACACACACACACACCCCATCATCCCTAGCTGATCTATATGATGAGCTCTGGGCATGACGGGCTGTGATTCGAGCCTTCGGGCGGCTTTAAGGACATTTTCACCCTCTTTCATTGTTTTTATAGTTTTCATTTCTTGCTCTTTTTGCACTGTCCTCTTGTTCTTATGTCACATTTTCTTACAGTTTCATGAACAGATTAAAGCTGTAATAATACGCTGGTTCTGCTGTATTATTGCAGATTCTGGATTCAAGAAGACAGAGCAGCAACATGCCGCTACAGAAGGGAATGTCTGCGCTTTTTCATGCAACTGCAATCCTTTCAAATCAGATTTGTGTGCAGAACTGAAGTCACCACTGCCTCTAAACTCAAGATACTCTGAGCATCCCTCTGTGCTGATTGGTAGACTCTGGGGTTTGGTGTAGAGCAGCTGCTCTCTCAGCCTTATCGTAGGCATTATCGGACTCCGCGGGGCAGGAGACGCCTCGCACCAAGAGGATCAGGGCAGATTACAGCGGCTGCAGTGGGAAACACCGGCCTCAAATCAAGCCCATCCAGGCATCATCCTAAACCACGGAAATAGTTATTCCCTGTTAGTTCAGACTGCTCACAGGTGTGTTACGTCAGGGGTACGCGATCAGAACATTTTTACTCAGCACTTTCATACAAGCTTGTTCTAGTTAAACCTTAATCTGAGGCGCACCTGACTGTTGAGATGAGACTGAACATCATGGGGAGATTAAAATGGTTTGCTGATGCCTACAGGGTGAAGATTGCAGCAGCTTACAAGTCTGGTAAGGAATTTAAAAAGATCTCTGAAGATTTTGAAATCAGCGGTTACCCTGACCAGAGAAAGCGATGCAGAAATCTCAGACATCTGCCCGCATGCACAGGTCTGGCTGTCAAAGTCGATTCATTTAAATAGCAGGTCATAAGAAGTCTGAAGAGAAAAATTCTCAGCTGCAAATCCTAGCTGGTGTATCCAACAGCTGCAGACAGCTAGATGGGGGTGTTGCTGCGTCATCACGACCAGCACCCCCTACAGAGCCGGTGGTAATATTTAATCATATGTTGTCCCTATATTTGCTCTGGAACGTGTAAAATAGCATGGCACAGGTTCTTTAAGATGCATGTGTGCAAGGAGGAAACCGTAGCTCACAGAAGGAAAACATGAAGGCCAGACTTGGGTTTTCTAGAGAGAACAAAGGCAAAGACAGGGACTTCTGGCATCCTGTTCTTTGGATAAATCAGTGTTAAAATGAACCATTTGGACAACAGAATATCTATCTACCATCACACACTCGTACTCCTGAAACCCCGGATTTATGATCGAAGCGGTCCTGGCATCCCTTTGAGCAGAAAAGAACACTCTTAACACACCACACACTATAGGATTTATCGATAAGATTATCTTTAGAGCCATTACAATCATTGGACTTGTGTATAAGATTGTTGGAAGGGGAGAATCAGATCAAAAATCGATGGTATTAGTTATGTTTTTATTTACTGAAACACTACAAAACATTTGCCAACATATTAAAACGCTACGAGTTGCTGGATCTTACATAGCTCCGCCCATCAGTACTACTTCTGGATGCTTATGACTTGCGTTTATTTTATTTGTTTTACTTGAATGATAGAATTACTTGAAACTCCCTGCTTGACCTGCCTGAGTACAGGAGCTTGTCATTTAACATGTTGTCTAAATGTTCTGCAAGTTCTTCCTGAAATATTTCTGTGATGCTGAATGAGTGAAGTGGCAGAAATGTCACAAGTTAATGCAGCGTATACCATCTGCCACAGCTCGTGCCAGAGTACACACTCGTTCCATCTTAAAATGTAAATATGTCTGTTGAAAGTTTTCAAGTGAATTTACGAGATCTATTAAGAAAACAATATCTAATATATTAGCTGCATAGCTGTGCTTTTGGTGTATAAGGTTTTTATAAGATGAGCCAGGGTGGTTCAGAAGATGCTAGAAGTGACAACTGGCGTTCTTTGAATAACAATGAAGAGTGTTGTGGGTAGATCGGCCATATTGGATTGTCTATTGGTTATATTGTGCAGAGATTTGATAAATTTCCTCATGGATGAGTTATAGGCACTAATCACAAGCAAAACCACCAACAGATAGGTTCACTAGTGCTTGGCCATTGTCATTGCCAGGGCGCATCAACAGGGTTTGGCCTATAATCCGTAATTATGATGTCACTCATTTGGGCATCTTGCTCCAGCCCCAGTCACCTAACCTGCTTGTCTTTCTCACCGTTTTCTAGTTATAAAGCTTTAACTTCCTCCACCAAGTTCATTAGTTTCCTGTTGATGTCTAAAAATAGACACTTCCTCTGTCCCACGTGTCAACAGATTGTTTTAATGCCATCAGCCTCTAGCCTACAAATCTAAACGTACCGTAGCAGAAGCTAAACGTATTTGCTCGGCAAGTCGGCCTAGCCAAGCTCCATCGTAGCCTCAGCAGGTCGACCACTGGCTTGGGCAGAGCTGTGTCATGCCAACCACAGCGCTCTATTGGTTTGGCGAGATGATAGGACATCGACTCAAGAGAAGACGGAGGTACTTAAACTCTTTATTTAAAAATGATTTTTCGTTGTCTTTGACGTCGCATGGTGGACTGCCCCGTTGACTGACATCTGTAGCGGTGTTGTTGTCCAGCAGCACGCAGAAACCGTTTGAAAGACACCCACAGATTCAGCCACCTGACTGAGATCTGTCTATAGGTCGTGGCCAGATGGCGTGCCAGGCTAATAAACAACCTCTTTAACAAGAACCGTCCTCGGTGGCTTTTTGCTTCACTTTTGTGGGCTTATAATGTTTCATAAAGTTATTTTATTCCTATTAACTTGTTGAAAGCATGCCCCATTTAGAGTTTTCTTGTGGTTCGGATGTCAGTGGTCCAAGCTAAACATGTAACCTAACCACTGCAACACTGACAGCCATGAAAATGCAACAATAAAGTCAGCTACAGACGATCAAGTGAAGCCCCGCAGTCCTGCAGACACAGAGCAAGAACGTATTTAATGTGGAGCTTCTTGTCGGAGGCCCAAAGGTCTACCACACCCTCTGAAAAGAAAAGAGCTACTGTCCTACAGACATTTAGGTGTTAAATTTCCTTCAGGCAACACGATACTTTATTTTATGATTAATTCAAACCTTAACGATACAAAAAAAATCCAGGAGAGCTATGATTAAAAGTTTAGTTGCACATCAAACTAACTATTCACCAACTTCATTAAAGAAAAGCCTTCTTTCCCACGTAGGTCAGGGTTTTCACACATCGCTGTACCTGAACATCTCTGCTAAACATATCAAGTCCAGTCATATTCTCAACCAGATTAATAATAATACATTTGATGAGCTTCATGATGAGTTGAGCACATTTTGACAACACTGGCCCGTCTGGAAAAGTCTTTTTTACGGTAACCACTTTCGGGTAAACTACTTTGTCAATGCAAACAAGTAAATGAGCCATATTTGCTCATTAAAATGCCCTATAGCCTTCACAAATGACTGACACAGCACTTTCCTTTTCCTCCCATTATGGTGCCCTACCCTTTGACCAAAGAGCCACTTTGCAAAGAAATCTGTTTGCTTGCTGTCTGGAGATCTCCCCAGGGAAAAACGTTCCTCTAGTCAGTAATGTGGCGATAAGATGCAGAAAGCGTAGGCTGTCCGAGGCCTTGTGGTTGCTTTAAACACAACAAAGTTCTTCAGAGTCAGTAAAGATGCTGAGTTTTGCTGAGATGACAACACTGGAAAAATGCATGAGCAGCCAGAGGGGTAAAGTTGGTGGTAATTAGTTAGCGTGCCATACCTACCTGGCTGAAAGCCCTTAACGACATTTATCATTTGTGAGGAGCCTAATGCCTGCGGGTTAAAACCTCTGCTGCTGAGTTCTAAAGGAGTGTGTGTGTGTGTGTGTGTGTGTGTGTGTGTGTGTGTGTGTGTGTGTGTGTGTGTGTGTGTGTGTGTGTGAGTCTAGGTGACACCGAGTAGAGCTCCAGCACACATTTATCCTCTTATGTAACATAAGCACATGCCATGACTCCCCGAAGCATACGAGGCAGAACTCTGAATATTTCTACCAGAATCAAGCGGCTGCATCCAGGACAAGACTCCAGGGGGCAGATCAAACCCTTAGAGGCCCCACCTTGATTAAGCCGGGGTCATCCCTCATCATTGTCTCAACCTAACCCTTCCAAAAGCATAAGAGATGTCTGACTTTTTGCTCTAATTCTACTTCCCTCTGAGAGAAGTTTAATTCAAACGGATGAAACAGAAAGTGTGCAGCGGCTGGGTTTGTTTAACAAAAGGATTGTGCTGCAGCGAGGTGAGAGCAGAGTAAGGCACATGCGAACTTATTAGCAGGACCTGTTTTTATTCACTTTGCCTTTGTGAGCAGATCTGTTGGAGGTTGCAGGAAACAGCGATGGTGAACCTTGCATGAGGGGAAAAGACCAAACAGCTTATTGTTGCAAGAGTGCATATCGTTGCTATGTAAAACAACACTTGCATGAGAAAACTCACTCCCTTTCCTCCGTTTTTAGGAGCAGCTGAGAAGCAACCTGTCTCTTGTCTGGTTCAGATCATTCATAAAAATGGCCTACTCTGCCCTCGTGCCATTGCCTGCGCAAGGAAAACATTTTTTTCTTCTTTTGCACCTCGAAGGGACTAAAAAAGCACGATTTTTGACCTTGCAAAATGATCTCTAGATGTGTTGGTGGAATGTTTCCAGCTGTATACACAGAAGCGTCTGCAGCAGCTCTCTCCGTGAGCGATGCAAGGCTCAGGAGGAGATCCATGTAAACAAATAACAAATGCTGAGTCCTTCTTTTCCCTTACCGGTTGTAGGTCTGAGCTGCAGCGGAAGGGCTCCTTGCTGCGCGCGCAGGACAGCCCGTGGAGACGCGTGGATGCTGGGGCTCGCTCCGGACGCCTGCCTCCGGAGCTCCGGTGCAATCACCTTGCGGGGCAGCGCTCTTTGTGGTTTGGCCACTGCGGTTACCGCACAAACGCGCGCTCACGCACACTCACACTCATACTCCGCTGCTACAGTCGACACTGCTACAGCCCCCAGAACCTGTCAACCATGCTACCGCGCAGGGGAGGCAAGAGGCTGCCGTGACGGTGCTGCTGCGGCCGCTTTGCTGCAGGGATCGGGACAGCTGTGGAGCTCTGACGGTCTGCGTGTTGTGCGTCGGCAGTGTAGTCCAAGGGGATGGGGTGGGGTGTGTCACTGGGATTACGTGGTAGGGGTTTAATTAGATAGCACTGCGCTCATTGGCAACGACGACGCGCAAAGCCCTCCTCCTCCTCTCCCGTGCGCTCTTCCTTTCTGTCTTATTGACAGTTAAACAGATGGATGCGAGGCTCCATGTGTCACAACACGCTGACAGCTGTGTGCATACGCCTGGCTGTGGAAGAGAGAACAACACAAACACTCTCAGAATTAACAGCCTTGCATTTGTACAATTCTTTACATGGGTCACATTTGTACAGCTGCACTGTCTTCAGTCCGACATGACTCACGGGCAGCTGCTCTTCTGCCCTGCATACACACATGCACTGCAACATCAATGGCATGGAAAAAATCATGATGCAATGATCAAATCAAAATCATTATAAAGACCAAGTTCACTCGTTTTTTCAACACAATAGCAGTGGTACCTCGTATGAATGTGATGTAAGTTTCTCTTTGTGAGGAAAAAAAGCTCTGGTGCTCCTGTTTCAGGAGGTAGAAGTGAACCAGAGACGATGGGAGCAGAGGATGGCAAGTTCTGGATTATTATTTCCTGATATTTGGACATCTTGCCTCTGACTGGCTAACAGCAACACAACTCTATCAGACTCCACTAACTTTGCATCTTTGATGATTTATTTGCACAAATAGCACCCGCCTGAAGAAGTTCTGCCATGTGGTGGAGTTGCTAATGCTAACAGTTAGCTTCTACTAGCCAAAACACATTCTACGTTCTCCTGGATGCTAAAACAACCAAACCATTCCCTACAACCGCTGGCACAAACCCAGCTGCAGTTTTCATAACTTTAAAGTACTATTGATGGTCAAATATTCTAATAAATAGTGTGTTTACCCTTTTTTTTATTAATTTGAGCATCACAAAACATGACGGCAAACAATAGTCACTTCCCGCTTCCTGTTCTCATGATGTTGTGACCATCGCATGGCTTTCCAAGAAGTGCTCAGCGGCTCGGCGCGTGCTGTGTCACCATTTAACGTTACAAAACCTGTGTGTCTCCGGTGTGCCCCAGACTTTAGTGTCCTTTAGGACTGCTGAGTCATGCCTTTGTGCCTTGCAGCTGCAGCTTACAGCGTGACTATGTCATAACGTAGTCCCATCTTGGAGTTTGGGAATTCCAAGTGTAAATCATCTCATGTTCATGTGTTTTATTATTCTAATTTGTAGACGATATGATTATTGAGTTCACCAAGAAAAATTAGGAACATTATTGAGTCATTTTCATGACTGTTTTACAGGAGATGCTAGCTGTTACCATTCACTTATGTTGTTTATGCTAAGCTAAGGCTACATGAGTACTGCCAGGCTAGGGCGGGGCTTGTTACAAATGCGTTTTCTCACTTATCTAAATCTGGGGAGTTGATGGCAACAGACTAAATTTCACATAGGGGTGGCATCTCTCTTTAAGAGTTAGGGTTGGTGTCATATAAATAGTCTAAAAAGGCTTTTTATTCAGAGTTTGGTGTCAGGTCAGTCAAACTTCACGGACATTGATCTGGTCAGTTGGGTAGAAGGGGGGGGGGGGTGTTAATCTGTGTCAGCTGTTTTGTTAACAGGGAAACGAACACCCAGTGCACTAAAGGGGCAACAGTGAGACAAGCTCAGAAACAGAACGGGCATGTTTAAGTGTCATTTCCTTATCTGTTATTTGAGTAAGGATACACTTTTCTCTGGACCCTACACAAGCAGTCCCACTTCTCCAGGATGGACCATCAATGGCAACCATTGCCAGTAGGTTAGCTGATCTCACTGAACAAAAGCACAGAGAAGATTAGGAGAGCTGGTCAGGGCTGTTGAAAATCCTTCACCCATCAGCACGATCTGCTCCTTTGTTCAAGAAGGAACTGGATGAATTCTACAGAGGCCCTATGACAGACCACTGGCACGGAGGTCTCTGACCAAACCATTAGATACATGCCTTCCTAAGTGCCAGATGTCCTCTAGAGGACTATGTCGTCTCTGCCCTGAGTCCTGGAAATCAACTCCTTGTCTCAATCTGTTGTTCCCAGGATGTGATGCGAAGAAAAATGTCTGGATCAGCTTTTGCTTATTTTAGTAGTTGTTCCCGAACTCTGGCTCCCTGTCCTGTAAATGAGGATGCCAATGTGATTGAATTACCCTTCCTCCTCTTCCCTCTGTTATTCTTTCTTTTTGTGTAACGATTGCACTTTCCTTCTCCCATGGCCGGTTTGAGTACTGTTGTTGCACTTTCTCTGGTCTTGAGTAACCGTTCGGCGGCCGTGTCGCTTTACTCCCACCACCTCCTCTTCTCTAGGCACTACGGTCGCTGGGGGAAATGGCGGCCCAGAAAGCTGCCCTTCATTTGCGTATTCTAGAAGAACGTCCCTTGTTTTATGTGAAGCTCAGCTCCCAATAGCAGAACATCGTTAGACCTGTTTGACCTGAGCTGAACAAGCACCAGGACCTGCTTTAGACAAAGACAGGCTTAAATGACTCAGACAACAACGAGTTAATTTCATTATTTATGGATGAGTTTCGGCTCTCTGCTCTTCTCAGTGTCATTCACCAGCGTGACACACACGGGCATTTAAGTACAGGTATTCAAAGGATGACAAGAAGGATATTCTTTTCATCCAAAATACAACAAATAAAATCAATAATGACAATATAAATATGATTAATATTCCTTTCTTCTCCCCCTTTCTCTTTCATTTCTGTCTCCGTGTCTGTTAGGATATAACCCACCCACTGTCCTAATGGGGGTGACCCCGCCAGGAAAGTTGACCATTTAGCCGGGTTGATGGATTATCCCTTGAGGTCCACGTGGCAGGGGGGAGGTGGTGCTCACTCTTCAACCCTGCCACGTGGACCTCAAGGGGTAAACCATCAATCCTGCTCAATGGTCAACTTTCCTCGTGGGGTCACACCCGTTAGGACAGTGGGAGGTGTCACGTTGAGAGCAGGAGGTGTGGACCCAAAATGCAGAAATCCAGAACACAAATGCAAGAGCGGTTGAAAAAAGTAAAATCCTTTATTTAGGAAGACAACCAAAAATCCAAAGGGGCGGAGGCCAAAACCTAATAACTAAACTAAGGCAAAAAACCAAAAGCTCACTTAATGAGCAGAGACCTAGAGACGAGTAGGGAGGGCCAAAACAACGCTGACATAAGACAATGGACCGACAAACACTGAAGAAACAGACAGGGTTCTATACACAGGGCTGGGGTGATGGGAGACGAGGAGCAGGTGTGTGGGGAACTGGGCACAGGTGAGAACAATAACAGAGAGGAGGAGCAGAATGGAGCAGGGGAGGACACCAGACCTAACTGGGAAGCGAACACACACACACGCACACACGCACACACGCACACACACACACACACACACACACACACACACACACACACGCACACACGCACACACGCACGCACACACACACACACACACACACACACACACACACACACACACACACACACGCACACACGCACACACGCACACACACACACACACACACACGCACACACGCACACACGCACACACACACACACACGCACACACGCACACACGCACACACGCACACACACACACACACACACACACGCACACACGCGCGCACACACACACACACACACACACACACACGCACACACGCGCGCACACACACACACACACACACACACACACACACCACTAAAGGAGACTAAGGAACTGAAATAATAGAGCTATAGAAACTACAGTGGGGAGACTCAGGCCTAGTCCACACGTAGCCGGGTCTTTTTAAAACGAATATCCGCCCCTCCAAAAACTTACATCCACACCACCGCGTTTTAAAAACAAACTCTGTCCACACGTACCCGGATAAATACGTTGTTAAGGACATGCCAGACCTGTAGGCGGCAGTACTTCCCCCGTTCTTAACCTCGTCCTTCGTCTGTGGTCTTCCGCAAGGAGCAGTAATTCCTCTTGCAAAAACAAACAAGCAGAAAGCGCTTGGACAATTGATAAAGCGAGCGCAGCTCTGAGGGCATCCATGCTGTCGGCTAGTGTAAACACAGGTCGCACACGTGATGTCAGCAGTTTTTTGTCATGGAAAGTGACGTTGCGGACCTTAAAACTCCGGTTTTGTCCGTCCACACGCAGACACCCAAAACGGAGAAAACGCAGATCTTCACTTTGGCCGGAGTTTTTAAAAAGATCCGTTTTCGTGTGAAAAAACTCCGTTTTCGTGTGGATGACAGGCCAAAACGTAGAAAATTATCTATGTTTTGGCAGATCCCCGGCTACGTGTGGACAGGGCCTGAGAGAACGTGAGGGGACACCTGGAGGGGGCTGGGGACCAAAGGGAGACAGAACATGACAGGAGGGTTAAAACAATCGAAAATATTTCTAATTCTAGTTTTTGTGTCGGGCGAGGCAATATAGCTAAAGCTAGTCCGTCCCACCTGTGAGAGTAAAACTGTAAGGCTTGTCTTCGGCCCTCAGAAATCAATTCGGAGTGCTTTACAGCCTGACAGGACACGGGAAGCAATGTTTTATGTAAAGATCTGTGGTTTTATAAAGATAACGTAGGAGGCAGGTTCACGCAAACTTCTGATGAACAGAGAGCTTGACCAAGAATGAAGAGGAGGAAGTAAATGTGATGGCCAAAGCTCAAAAGCCTTTATTGCCATCTGCACAGTAAAGAAACACGTTTTCCCATACAATGAAATTCTTACTTTGCCGCCCGCCCTAGATGCCAAATAAAAAAGTGTCAGATTTAAAAATCGCAAAAGAAATAAGAGGAAATAAGCATGCAAACCTTCATAATAAAATATTCAATTTAAGCTTTCAGAAATATGAACTCAGCAAACAAGTCGTT